TAAATTCCAAACCTAAAGAAAAACTTCAAGAACTTTGTAAGAAAATCTCAAACGTCCTTCTCTTATGCACAGATGAGTGGCGGTGGAGGTAGCGGGGGTCAGCCTCTTTTCCTGGGGGGCTGTTTCAGGGTCCCCGGGGCCACTGCAACCTACTCGCCGGAGGCTTTCGGCAGCCGCGTCTCCCGTGCTGTGTATCACCAGACCTCCCCACTGTTTCGAGGGCTCCTGGACGGCCCTTCTCCGGGCTGGCTGCAGATGGCGTGTGCTGCCAGGAGCCACGTCTCTTTAGTGTCCTTTAGTGACAACATTCCCAGGTCTTTTTCCTTCCTTTCACGAGGATGAAGCCTCTCAAGTGTCCACCGCTGCAGAACGCCCCTCGGCCTGGAGAAGGGATCATCTCCACACCGTGGGGCTCGGGCTTGGGCTCTCAGGTGGGGCATGAGGAGGACGTCACTTTGGCAGTGGCGCCACGTCAGAGCCCTCTGTGATGCAGGCCAGGCCCCGTGCCTCGGCACTGACGCAGGCGCCTGTGGGTCACCTCCCTGGGCCACGGCCGCAAACAAAGCCTCCTTCTCTCTCTCCCTCTCCTTTGACATTCAGTTCTGAGTCTCACTGGCTGGGCTGTGGGCTGGGGCCGCACTGCAGAGCTGCCTTTGGGAGGCGAGCTGGACGCAGGCAAATAACTGAAGCAGCTCTGTGCAGTCTGAAGGCCTTGGGGACACTGAGAGCCCCCTTTCATCAATTCAGGAAGAACAAATGCACCTCCATATTTGGAATTACATTTTTAAAAAGTCAGGTGGGAGTTCAGGGTCAAAATCGAACTGGTCAACTGCCAGTATTTTAAAACAATTGGACACATTCATAATTAGACCACCCAAAATATGAGTCCTGGTTTTCATATTCAAAACTGAGGACGTCAAGTTAAAGGGAGACACCCCTGAGCCCTCCACCCTGCAGGAGGCGGGTTCTTGCGCGGAGTCCAGAAACCACTGGAAGAACCACCCTCAGCAGTAAGGCTTCTCGCTCTAGGGGTGGAGGACGCCTTCCGATGTCCTCTTTTAACAGAAAGACGTACTTCACCTGGACACACATCACCCACTGCTCGCAAACCACACATAACTCAGGCCAGTTCCAGACATGGCCAGTGAACATGGAGGGCCAGTTTCACCTGCAGAGTTTCTGTCCCACTCGCCCTCTGATGGCGTGCGTTCTCCAGAAAGTTCCTTTATGCAGCAAACCAGTATTGAACACCACTGTGTACAAGGCACGGGCAATAGCAGCTGACGCAGTTGGAAATCACCTGCCACCATCCCGACCACAGGCCAGGGAGAGGAGAGCAGAGCCAGCTCGGAGTCGATCCTGTCCACCTGGTGGAGTTTTCTCAGGCAAAATGGGCAGCTCTGCAGGCTGCGGGCCTCGGGAAAACTAGAGTGGCTGCATATGGCTGTGGGGAACACCACGGCTAGGCACAGGCTGCCTCTCTTTCTCTCTTTCTTTTTTATTCAGAGTGATGTTTCCAAAGCACCTCTCTCTAAGGTACAGGCTGAAGGAGGAGCAGACCAACCCGGGCCCAGTGGCAACCCTGATGTAGGCTGGAGCAGCGCCGTGGGACAGGAGGGCTCACAGCTGCCAGAGCTGGGCAGATGCCCTCAGGGAACAAGCCCCTGGGGACAGCATCCTCCAAGAGGAAGGGTGGGGACGTCAGTGTTAGGCAGCCTGGGTAAGATCCTTGTCTTCCTGGGCGTCCCGGGAAAACACTGTCTAAACGTTTCAATCAACTGTCATTCACTCCCAGAAATCAATCACAGAGCAAACTCCAGTGAGAGCACCCGGTTTCTGAATCCTTCAAGAGTATAAGGCATGTCAACAGGTGCTTCCTGTCTTCCTCAAACCTCCTACCCCATCGCTCAGATAATGACATAATAAAATTAACAAACCTAGGTTGGCATTAGGAAGACGGATGTGAAAGTGCTTTTGACACCTGGGAGTAAAGATGCCTGGCAGGCGCCCAGCACGCCCACAGCCTGTGCCTTTCCCGTCCCAGTGAGGGGATTTGCTGGGTGTCCCACCCATTTCTGATGTGCTCCCTGCTGTCCAGTGATGAGGGCTTGGCGGGGGAGGGGCATGTGGGGTGGGGGTGGCGAGCCTATTTTGTGATGCCCAGTGGGCAGCAGGGGCCAGGCTGTGGCCTGTGCTGGGCATCTGGTCTGACGCGGCTGCCACCCTGGAGCAAGGCCCCAAGGGGCCCGTCTCCTCAATCCTGAGCCTGCAGCCCCATGATGGCTCATACACTGGGATGGATTTGGGCCACAGCCAGCTGCCATCTCCCAGAGGCCTTCCCCACATCAGCCCCGCTGGACTGGACACCACGCAATCAAAGCCTTCGACCACTGCCAGGGCTGAGTTGACTCTTCTTCTAGGCTGGAACCGTGGGGCTTGAGAGAAGGAAATTGGGACGAGGCAGGCGGGAGGGGTTAATGATATCAGGAGGTCAGGGCGGCCGGAAGAGGCAGCAGTGTCGGCGGTGGAGGGCTCGCTCCCCACAGCTTTGCCTCTGCACTTGCTGGGGATCCTGGTACTTCACCTTCCAACTCCTGTCTACCTGTGCTGGAAAGTCTGTCTCCTCCCCAATCCTAACCCCAATTTTTCACCCTCAGGGAAACCACAGAAGACCCTGAGCCTCCGGACAGGCGGACAACCCAGGACTGGTCCTGAAATCCAGGGAAGCAACGGGGGCGGGGTGGAGTCGGGGCCGCACTTTTACAGGAGAGACAATAAACCGAGAAACGATTCCGTCTCTCCAAATCTGCCACAGGTTTCTCAACGTTTCTTCTGAAAATCACCCCAGACGTTCCCCTCGCATCAACTCATCCTCTTTCTTCCTTGTAACAGCTTTATTGGGATATAATTCACATACCATCCAATTCACGCTTTTAAATGATACCACTTGTTGTTTTTAGTATATTTACAGAGTTGCACCATAGTCCAATTTCGGAATATTTTCAACATCCCTAAAAAAGAGATGCTGTTCCCCTGGCAATGCTCCCCATCTGCCCGCAGCATCTCAGGCCCGGCACCTACAAATCTGCATCCTGTCTCTGTGGGTCTGTCTGCTGTGGACGTTTTATGTGCATGA